TCGGCCGTGGCATTATGCGTTTTTCAATAAGACGGATTACTCTGGAAAATGCTTTCTAAACCGGGTTTGGGGGGGGGGTATTAAGAGTTTAAAGAAAGTGTAAGCTTTATATGCGCGGCAGAAAGCAGTAAGGCCATTCTCAGGTGCTAATTTGGCTTGAAGGTGGGCCTAATCGGGACAGAGTCAAAGGGGGCAAATTAGGGTATATTCATATGTTGCTGGATCAGTAGTCACGCTCTCGATTCATCACTGTGTTTGTCCGCTAAAACTGGTTGCTAAGGCTGCCGTCAGAGGGATCTTTTCATCTTGTTTTATTCATCCAAGTTTTGATGTAGGCATTGTTCCCTTAAACGATCCTGGAATTTATATTCAATGTAACCTGGTGCTGTAGTGACAGTATATGGATTAGTCTGAGGTTTGTTATGATTAACGCAGTTCTGCCTGAAAGTGTTCCAATTGCTAAAGATTGGTGATAGGAAGATTAATCGTGATAATAAATGTAAAGCAAGTGAAATAATGTCTTGGATACTAGTGGGCTTCGCTACTGATCTTGTCCATGAAAGTGGTTGTAGCCTCTTTAATCGTCAAACACGACTTCAAATGAAATGAATTAAGAGCGTGACTTTGATTTGGGTCAGCTATCTGTTGATATTATGTAGTAATCAAGTTTATTTTTTTTAACTAACTGATACTTAGTCATCCCTTGAACTGCCATGGCTACCTTAAGACAGGGTGATAGGGCTTCTGCCATCCCAGGCCTTGCGGATACTAGCTTAATAATATGGTTACCCTCCCAATTTATAAATTAGGAGGGTGAATCGTAAGTCGTGGCAGACCTCCGCTTAAGTGACCCTATTATCTTGAGATTTATGTGGTCTTTAAGTTAGTAGTGTTTTCCTTTTAATTATATAGTGCAAGGGTAGACCTGATTAATAGTCAATGAAATGAGGTCAGAAGAGCATTTTTTTTACAGGCCAACAGCTTTGAGGATTGTGGGAAAGGGTGGGGGTGGGGAAGGATTTAGTAAGGTCAATCAAAGCTAATTTGGCCAGTTCTAGCCTGTATCTACCACAAGTATCGAGTTTCACTACCTATCCATATCAAATTTCTAATTGTACTAACCCATCTAAGTGGTTAGAATGCTATCCTCCTTCTCTTGAATGGGCTTGAAGTCGCCTTTTTGTGTGCTGGATATTTATCAACTTTATTGTGAGATTCCCCCCCCCCCCCCCAACAAGTGTCCTGGCTAAAGAGAGGGTGTCTTAGGGTCGATATGATGGCATTTTCACCTCCTGGGCTTATAATAATATTCTTCTGAACTTTTCCTAAATCATGCTGCGCAGTATTTTTTAAAATATTACCTACTTGTTCAAAAACGCCCTACTAATTGTTGACTAAGTATACACGCAGTTTGACCTCAGATCTATGTCATTAAGGTTGAAGTAGTAGTAAAGATTACCCTGTCTTGGCAATTGCCCTATCTTCTACCCATTGAGACAAGGCCAAGATTTCTTCATTCTTAATTCTGGTACGCATTGATGACGGAACTTGGCTATTGCTCTCACTGTATGTGTGTACCGATGGGCATTGAAATTGCGTTCCCTATCTTCGCGGTCAAACACATTTACTGCTGCTTCGCAAACACCATCTTCGAAACATGTACAAATTTTGTTTTAATCAATAGAAAATCTGAAGTTACTACCTACGTGTCCTTACATTTATTCTTATAAAATGGCAGGCTTTATGCTAGTTATCAATAGTCCTTTAGTTGACCTCGGGCTTCAAAGAGAGGTGGAACATCAAAGTTGTAGAAGAGACAGGCCGACTCAAAAGTAGAGAAAAAGGTTAGGTGAGGTGAGTACTGTGGAAGTGGTCAATTATGACATACAGTGGGGTCATGGTTGTTTGAAGTCAATTACCGATTCGTAGACTTTTTTTGCCGTGTGTGTATATGTTGCCCGGGGTGTACCACGTTAAGGCAAGTCTATCGCGTACCCCACATGTCCTTGTATCGTTTCTAAGATTTTTCCCCTAATTACTTGGCTTTATGTCAATGGAGTAATCAATTTTAATTGGCCCGAGTAGATAGAAAATCAATGCTGAACTCATTTTGCTCTTAGTGAATTAAGGTTTAAAGAATCACCAACTGAATGCTTTTGTCATTTGATTTATAAGTTAGAATCAATCGAATTTTCATTAAAATATCAAATTCAGACCTATCCTTATCACAACATCAGAAAGTTGGACTGTTTTGAAGTTAATCATTAATTGTTTTTGGTTAACATAATGTTACATAATTGTTTTGCCTTATCAGGTCTTGGTAACTTTAGTTACTTTTCGGGATTCTTCGAAAATATTTTTTTATTAAATTGAATTTGAAGGCAAATTCTTTTCTCTTAAAAATGTCGTTGCATAGTTTTAATCCAATTTTTTCCACATGAACTGTCCCATATCAGTGACTTTATTAGTCCATGAAATGATTATTTGAACTCAATCCATGGAGCCCTTCACTTTCATTGGCAGAAACCCCCATGAGCCTATTGACTGTGGTATAAAGCACATCTCATAACTGTTCATTTCTAATCTATTTTCAATTATCGCTTCAAGGCTTTTTTATGTTAATATTCTCTACCCTAGCATTCTTTTGAAAATTCTACGACTGCATTCCCATATTTATGTGTGAACTTAAGAGAAGACGTAAACAAACTTACTTTCCCCTCAAACTTTAGCTATGAGGAAAGTACGTATTTATTTGCATCGATTGACCAGTAAGAACAAATTAATTTTGAACACCGCAGATAAGGTACTTCTTATAGAGGAAAAAGGATATCTCACACGAGTTACTTGTAGTCTACCAACCATACCGTTGACTAGGACAAGTCATTTCTGTTCGCTTTCCACATCACCGTACGCCCACTTATAGGCTCTGATCTCGTGACGTCTAAGCTGACCGGCATGCACATGTTATCTTGTGGTCAGTCCAGGGAATATATCCCAGAATTACTGATAAAGTACACAAATCTCTCATCCTCTTTCTTGACTTGATTTAATCAGTGGGTCTTTTTTGTATGTTATTTCTGATTTGGCAGATGCGCACTCTCATTGCTACCATTTGAGCAAACAATCGGCTCTTAGTTTCTTTCCTTTTGCACCCCTCTTGTTGATATTATGCCTTCTGAATGTCCAAATGCTCTTACTAATTGCTGTGGCATCTTAACACACAGAGAGAGCAGCGGAAGTTATTGCTGCTGATAGAAATTGGAGCTCTCATTCCATCCAACACACTTTTAGAACTGATTTCGTTTCTTCTTAACTAAATAGGCCGTTAGGCGCACTTTAGGTATGTGTTTACATGACTTCAGCATGACCCACTTTTGTCAGCTTATCTAAAGTCCATTTATAGTAGGGGTGGTGGTGTTTTTATTGCATGGAACTTTCCACGAAGTTGATATCCTTTCATGTGATGGTCCTGGGTAAAGGTGAACTGAATTCGTTGTAAGATAAGTTGCTACGTTGATATATCCACGATTAAACTCAAGTTAAGACCATGATTCCCTGACTTCATCGCGTTTCACCAGTTCTAACCTCTTATGCGACTATTTTATTAATTGCTACATTCAGTTGCTGTTTAGAGCCTTTAATTTAGAGATGACAATATTGATTCACAATATCGCGCCAAAGGCGTAGTGGTTAGTGTGCATCTCAGAGTTCATGAGATCGGTGATCGTCAATCAATATTATGGTTTATCAACCGCATTGATTCTTTTAGGCCTAGAAGGATGATGAGAGAATAATTCTATGTTAAAATTTGAGTAGTTTCCCTTGATCCATTTTCAAATAATTTTTTTAAAATAGCCCTTTTTACACTTAGCTCCTAATTTAACCCTGCTAAATAATTAAATCAGCATTAAATTAAAGTATTAACATTTTAGGTGGACTTGAACTTGTATCTGAATCCTCTCAAGAATAATCCGCTCTCCTCAGCCTCTTATCATCACAGCAAACTTGAAAGGAAGTTTCAACATTGTGAACTAAGTGAGCGAAGGTATCTTGTTTGAGTTTTTAAGATAGACGACCCAAACGCAATGTGTCGTTCCTGGTTTTATATAAGGTAAAAGGGATCTAGTTTTATTTGTACTCGAAAGTGATATATTAATATTCCCTTTATCTCTACTAATATACTTTTCGTTAGTACCCTGGGATCAAATATATAATGTCTTAGAATTCCTATCGTTGACAGAAATCTTGAGTTGATATTATTTTACCGTTTAATAGCAATGTTTTCGTTAGAAATATCTAGAGCAGTAGTTAAATAAAATTGGTCTAGATTTGTTGTTCATTTGTTTGTGTTGACTTAAGGTGTTTTAACGCCTGACAAATAAAATGCATGTCTTCCTATTGGTGTCCAATTTATAAAGTAGTCCGAGCTATATTCAATTCTGTCCCCTTATTACAGTTTTTGATTCATTAAACCAGTTGAAAGCATTTTTCATACGTAGGAACGCATGAATGCGTGGGCTTTTTTGTTTTGTTTAAACCGATGACTTAGATATATCTCAGTGAACTGAGAATTAGGAAAAATTAATTCGATTTATTGTTGCCTTGAAAAGTAAAATTAAAATAATCTATTTTTAATCTATTAATTATTGAAAATATTTTTGGCACTTATGCTTTATAACATACATTAGTGATTTGTTTTAACTTGCCAATTGTAATTAGAGCCGCCGAAGTTTGAGTTAAATTAAGCGTCTATCTTTTGTGGCACAAATTCGTTTGGCAGGTAGGGTGTTCGTCATGCTCCTAGAAGAATTTGAATTTTCTGTTCATTTTTATGATTATGTCGATATATTTTGCTTCTTATTTCAGATTTTTTATGAAAAATTAGATTATTCATTGTACATTCAAAATTTAATAAAATATTCTGATGGGCTAGACTTCTTTTCTCTGTGGCTTATATCTTAATTTACGGCAGTTTATTTGCCGTTGTCAATCTATTCTAGATGTCAATTTCTGATTGCGTTAATTCCCGAAACGCATCACAGAGCCCTGCTCTGGTTGCTGCGAGTGCTTCCAATCTGATAATACAAAGTGAAGTATCGCAGCAGTCACAGCATCAACAAAGTGACCTGGTACCTCTTAATTGGCTTCAAGGTTCAGATATCATACATATCGCCCCACTAGATCAAGAAGAAGACACAACCAGGGCTTCCACTCCAGGTACACCGACTTATCGCGTTCGAAATCAGAGTCAAACTGTCCCACAAGCGCTCCCTGTAACCGTTAATCAGGGTTATCCCATAATTGTGACCACTGCCCCCAACTTCAATACCTCGGCAGTAGTCAATACTTTTGATGATAGTAATGTGAAACCCGGTATCAGTTATACTCACCTTATTTGCATGGCTATTGAATCATCAGCAAATAAATGCATGACGGTTCAGGAAATCTACAACTGGTGTCAGAAGCACTACGCTTACTTCAGGAACAGCAATTCGGGCTGGAAAAACTCTCTTCGCCACAACCTCTCCATAAATAAATACTTCAAAAAATTGCCACGAGATGTCCGGGTGAGTGTGGATTTTAAGGTTGATTTTATTGCTCTATAATAATTTTCGTTCGTAGCTATTTTACCTGCTGTGTGTTTTAGACTGACAGTTTAGAGTATCGTCTGCCCTGTGGATCTTCTCTTTTTTTGGAAGAGATATTTTCTGAGGAGGTCGTGCACATTTTATTAAATTAAATATTATAACCACTGCACATCGAATGAAATGACAAAAATTGGCACCAAAATGCACACACACATTGTCCTTATGTAGTAAAAGGATGTATCCCTAACACCTTCGAAAATTTCTGATGCATGTATGTTATTTTTTAAGGGTCCAGGAAGGGGGAATTTTTGGACGATCGATCCGAGTGAGAGATCAAATTTATTGGAATCTATAAGGCGTGCTCCTCCCCTCCCTACTGTCAGGTCTATAGCACTGCAGCCTATCACGGCGATCAGCACTCAATTGACAACTCTAAGCTCTCTTCCAACTTCCACTGGAAGTTTGATTATAACCAGTGCCTCTGTTCCTGAAGATAGAACCCCTCCGAAATTGCATGTGAATGCCATTCCTGAAGACAGATCAACCAAAGACTCCGAACACACGGTGTATGCAGAGTCGGAATCCATCGGTGCTACTGAGGTTTGTGGTTCTGTAACCCCTTCTCAACCAGTTGGATTTGAATCGTGGTCTGCAGAGGAGGATGCGAAATTTGAAGAATCGAAAAGACAGCTGTTCGGATCAATGGGGTAGGATGGTCTTTCTCAGAAGTTAAATGACCACTCCTCTTTGAAATAACCTTAACCCCAATTGTTTTTCTTCTAATTTTAGCACCCAGACATCCGGAATCGGTAAGTGGCTCTTCTCTTTCTGCATTGAATAATAGGTTATTCGAGTAAAATTGTAGTAAAAAATTCCCCATTAGTTGTGAGATATAGAACGTGATGAGTGGTAAGTGGACACGAACTTTGAGTTTTTGTAAAAGTTGCACACGCCAAATTGCACTTTCTAAGTTAAGGCACAATTTTGTGATAGAAGTTAAAGTCGATTGACGATCTTGTTGTTGTCTACTTCAACAGCTTCTCAGGAACCAGTGAAGGAGTCGAAAAACCGGAGAAAGTCTTCCCTTCAGACCAATCAACGTAAGTGGAGTTTGAGTCAGTTACAAGTAGAGAGTGGTGGATTAATTAAAGATGTGCATCTATCATTATTCGCATGTCCCTTTTAGTCATGTGCGAGCGGTGTAAAAACGCTGTGGTTTCGTCGTGTCAGCGGTGTAGTTTACTGCGCCAGGTGCGTAGAATGGGTTCTCTAAAGGATGTTCTTTCAAGCTTGGATGGAGAAGGGAAGACGGATAGCACAAGGATGGATCAAGTGCTCAATTTCTTGGATGACGACCAAGAGGCACCCTCATCAAGTTGGTCGAAACCGAGTGTCACGACAGAGGAGACTTTCATAGTGAATGCTCCTCACATGGATCATGAGTACTGCAGCTTTCAACAGTACCTGCGAAGTCAGGAGGACAAAAGAGTTGTTCAATCTGTGAATGCCGAGATTCGTGATCAACAAGTGGAGCTGTTGAGGGAGTTGGCTGCAACAAATTATGACATGGAGGGTCTTTCTTTCGAAGATGAGAGGGAGAACGAAGAACCCAAAGGCGCTAGAAGATACGTGAAGTGTGGTGAGAAACATCGATTAAATGCGAGGAGTGTTGCTGCAGTGCCACGGAAGAGAGGAAAGGAGCGTGTGAGGAAGATGGAGTTGGAATATGAGAACGATGACGAAGAGGAATATTTCTTAGAGATGCCTCCATATACTGGTCATTATAAATCGCGAAATAGGTACACTTGTGCTTTCGAAAACGATCAGAATGATGACTTTGACGACTTGGAAGAAGATGGTTATCATGCATTTTCGAGACGAGCACCAGCTTCTTCACTTTCTCGGACACGAAAACGCCGAGTTGTAGAAGAATCTGACAGTGCACTTCCTCCACCTTCTTTGAGGAGACGTGTTGAAGAGAACTCTTCTCGATTGCCGACAGAGTATGGTGACGTGACGGCCCCTCCTTCAGGTCATCCTTCTTCACCCTCCAAAGATTTGCCTTCGTCCAAAAGAGGAGGCAGGAAAGGGAATAGGAGGTTTGACAGAAACTAGTGAGTGAAGTGTCTCACTTTCGACTGAAACAATTCTATATTTTTATATGTGCATGTGTATATATGTTTTTGTGGAATGTGTATATGAATATGTACATATGTATGCATAATGAGTCTTTCCCTGATAATCTATATGAGTTTTGTTTGTTTGCTTTTGTGTTTGGGTTTTGGAATAGTTCGTGAGGTTTTAATTGTGATTGCTTGATTGAGAGATTGAACTAAGATTGAGATAGACTAAGGTGTGTGGTGTAAGTTCTTTGAATTTATAATTTATTCTTTCTGGGAGGTTAGGGGGGGGG